TTTAGATCGGAGCTGGCCGGTGAGGTGTAGAGGCATTGGGCTGGACGGGATCTGCAGCGGTGACTTAGTCCGGCCCGCCGCCTGAGGCGGGATCATCCCAGTGTAAACCATCCCCTACAGAGCCACTGTCTAACCTAGTAGCAAATTTATGCAGTCCTCTCTGCACCAGTGGTTCCCAACGTGTTTTATACCAGGATTTGTAAACATGGATGGCCAGGTCCGACCCAGTGCCTCTTTCCTGACACACTGCCCACCCAGTGTGTGGGGCCGGGGGTGGGGTGGGATTTGGGGGCCTCAAGCAGCCCCTCACAGGCTGTAACTGTGGCAGTCTGCAAGAGAAAAGCCAGGGTTTCCCATGTTTTTTTCTCCTTGTAAAAAAATGGAATCTCCTTTAGTTTTTTTGCAACCCTTGCATACAGCCTTGCAACCCACATTTGGGTCATGATGATCCACAGATGGAGAAATGCTGCTCTACACAGTACAAGACGTAAAGCACTACCCAGGCTTTGGCGCACCCCAATTCCAGCCATGTGTGAAAAGCCACCCATCAGCCCACATCACCCAGTTCCCCAGACCTGGCTGTGCCCCCATGGAGTGGGAGATGGAAAGCTCAGGTAGTGGTCCTGGGAGTGGGAGAACCCAGCCCCCTTGGCCAGCAGCCTTGTAAAAGCACAATAGCAGCTGCTAGGCCCAGTAGGAGCTAGGACTGGGTTTGGATTTCTGTGACCCAACCGGGCCTGGAAGCATCAGGCCCTGCAAATTTGAGAGGAGCTCTAGCTATGTGGCAAAGCATGCAAGTTGAGTCTAGAAACGGTTGGGTTGTGCCACCAGGCTGGAAGAGCAAACAACTTGCTGCCTGATTTCAGTTCTGAGACATGACTGGGAACATGGGCTTAACCAAGTTCCTGAGAGCTGACATGCAAGTGTGCTGAGCCCCTGAAATCCTAGGCAAGCTCATTAGGTGATTGACCCTTGGGCAAATTAGCTTTTTTTTTTACCCTTCAGCTACATCTGCCCATCTGAAAGGACCCACAGGAGGGAGGACCAGTGCTGTTAGAGTTTCATGTGTCCATTGACCCCGTTCAACATGGCACTAGAGGTGCACTGGACCTGAGCAAAAGTGTTTGTCACAGGCGCTATCTATGTCCCCTCACTAGGTTTTTTTTATACTGTAGCCATCTTGGGTTCTTATAAATACCTCCATGCTTCAGATGACGGAAGTGTTTTGCTCCTAACCTAAAAGAAACAAATCAAGCAGTTCTCAATCTAGGGGCAGCTCAATAAGGGGTATGAAGATAACCGAATGCCAGTATAAACCCTTTGTGTGGCACTCCTTTCTTCAAATCACAGCATGGTGTCCCTCAACCAGAAGTACTGTGGGCTTCCTGTCAACAACTGATCTCTTCAGGAGCAGAGAACAGAATCCTAAAGGTAAGCTGAAGGGTGAAATGGCACCAGTTTTACTAGGTGAGCGTGAAACAGAATCAATGATCGGGGGAGGGAGGTGAGATGGAGAGTGTTTTAGGATTAATTTGCTGGGAAGAAGAACATGGGATCAGATTCTGCTTGGGAGACTGGAAGTAACAGAGGATCACTTTGCTGAGGAACCATTATCTGGTCAGCCCCATAGGAAAACAGAGGATCACATTGTTGGTACAGAGGTTACTGGATGGGTGAATCGGGCTGAAGAGTGGTTGCAGGTGGATTGACCTATTGTCAGAATATGGTTCACTGGGTGTAGCAATGCATAGGTGAATTAGAGACCAAAATAAAAACTGCTAAAAGGGAAATAAAAAGTGGGAAAGAGATTTGTCAGAGGAGAGAAGAGGAGACTATAATTGGACAGCTTAAGGGGAAGAGAGAACTACCCTTATTAGAGACAGAATTTATTGAAGGGACTGGGGTCAGTAGCAGACTTAGGGGAGGGCAAACTGCTGAGGGCCCTATACTTTAAGGGGGCCCAAAATTTTGCAACACATTTCTTGTGGGGTGAAGTATTTAAAGGAAGTGGCTCTATTTGCATGTTAATGCTCAACTATTTACCTAATTCCTACAAAGAATATTAAAAAGATTAACAATACATAGGTCATCAAAGTTAAGCCTCTAAGGGGCTCCAAATGACTCTTTTGCCCAGGGGCCCAGCAACCCTAAGGCCACCGCTGCAGGTAAGTCCCACCTGGCCAAGGCCCCGCTCAACTTACTCCTGCTTCTGTGGCGCTGTCCCTCACTGTGGAGGCCTCAGCCTAGCCATCACCCCTCCCCTCCCCCATGGACTGACCTGCTGGGCTGGGGCACATGCGTGCATGCACACAGGCACTCAGGCCCCCACCCCAGCCTCACATTGACTCTGAGAGGCTCCAGGATCTACCACAAGAGGCTCTGAGGTCTAATGGTGGATCGAGATCCACTGGTTGGTGACCGTTGGGTTAGACGGTGGAAGGAACATGAGCAGAGTCACTGAGGCATTTAGAGGAAGTCATAGGTGAACCATTAGGACAGGGTTGGGCAAAATATGGCCTGCGGGCTGGATTCAGTCCTCAAGGCCATTCTATCCTGCCCATGGGGCCCCTAAAAAAATTTAGAAAATTAAAATTTATCTGTCCTTGGTTCCTGTCAAAGATGACTGGACTGTGAATGGCTGTAGCGCAGGGCACTGGCCACAGGGCGGGCAAGGGGCTGCTTTTCCTGCACTCAGCACCAACTTGTAACCCGCCCTGCTGCCAGCCTGGCCCTATACCGTCTCCGGGCTCGCCTGTCGGGGCTGTGTGCAGCAGCGGGAGCCGCTGTGGCCCCCCCCTGCTTGCCACACTGGGCAGCATTTGCTGCCGCTGCCCAGCGCATGAGCTCTGGGCACATAGCAGCAGCCAACACTGCCTGGTGCAGCAAGCTGGAGGGCCACAGCTGCTGCCACCGCTGCCACGATGCAGCCCCGACAGACAAGCCCAGATCCGGCGTGGGGCCCAGTCTGGCAGCGTGGGCAGGTTACAAGCCAGTGCTGAGAATGGGGAAAAGTGGCCCCTTGCCTGCCCCGTGGCCGGCGCCCCACGCTGTAGCCACTCACAGTCTGCCTGGGGCTGCCTGTGCCTGCTCAGGACAGCTCCATGCGGGCTGCAAGCGGCTGCAGCAGGAAGCACCAGCCATGGGGCGGGGGAGGGGCTGCTTTTCCCCCCGTGCTCAGCACCAGCTAGTCCCCTGCCGGCGAGCAGGGGTCGGGGCTGTGCACTGCCCCCCGCCTCTACCACGGGGCTTGGGGGGGCACTGGGAGTGAGGGGGTGTGGGAGCAGGACCTGCACCCATATCCCAGGGCCAGCACCAGCAGGGCCCAGAGCAGCGTGGCAGGAGTGCAGGGTCCCAGCCGGCAGGGGGTCTGTGGAGCCGGGCCAACTCTCCCCTCTTCCTGCTGGTGCAGCCTAGCCTGGCTCCACAGACCCCTGCCAGGCTGCACCCTGCTCTGGGCCCCACTAGTGCTGGCCCTGGGATATTGGTCCCCAGCCATTGGGACACTGGTCCCAAGATGGTGATCAGGGGACAGGGCACCTGTCAAGGGGCAGGGCCCTCAACAGCTTGCCACAACTTGGTAAGCGGCCCTCTGCATGAAATAATTGCCCACCCCTGCATTAGGATCGTAAGAAGACATAGGATATGTGAGGGGATAAAAATGGAAGGATGGAGTCATAATAGGACACATGGGGAACAGAATGAAGCAGAAGAACAGGGAACTGTGCACCACTGATACAGAAGGTAGAGCCATGGTGGAAAAGGAGGATAGATGTAAGGAAGCTACTGATGGAAAAGAGGTCGTAGTTTTTTTGGGGGGGGGGGGTTTAAAAAAGCTGTAAGTCTGACAGCCCGCTGAGGATTTGGAGACAGTCTGGTATATATACTCTGCTTTTTTAACAAAAAAAACACATAAGAAAAAACTCCACTAAAATATGCGCAGTGTAGTCCAGTAGCTTAATTTTTTTACATTGGCAGTTACAGGACTTCCATGAAGCCAAGGCAGTTACACCATTGTAAACCTAATGGGAGAAGAAATGCAGGTTCATTGACTTAATTTAAGTTAATCCTGATTTAAACTTGTTTAAAATGAGATTAGAAACAAGCCAAATAATGCTTATTGCAGAAATGCAGCAAATACATGTTATTTTTCTGCTGTAGGAGGGAAACGTGTGCTCCTACAGCTGTATTGATGTAATAGATATACATGAAAAGATATCTTTTTCCCTTTTGTCTGTTATTCAGACAGGATGGGCTGAAATATTGGAACCAGCAGGTCCACAGCAGTTGATAATGTCAGTGGGAGTAAGAAGAGCTATCCTTAGGCAAGGGTAAAGGGAACAGACAAATGAGTGCTTCAGGGTTACAGAGAAGTACCA